TGAATGGAGACCTCAGGCGCTGGCAGCTTGAAGCAGGCTGGGGACTGTGGGGAGTGAGCAATCTGCGAGCTGGTCAGGATGGAAAACTGTAAGAGCACCCAAGAGCAGGTGAGGAGGCTTCTCTGGCCTCTGGTGAGGACAGTATGGAAGGTTCTATGGGAGCCTCTTCGGGTCCCCTCCTCAGCTGGCCCTCAGGCCTCCTCCATCTGCCCCAGTTAGCACTTGGCAAGTAGGACGGGTGCCTCACTGGGGGCCTAGGAGTTCATTCTTGGCCCCGTCTTCCCTAATTCTGTCCTGTATCTGTCCTGGATCCTGGTCCCTGCTTGAGACAGTCACACATCACCAGTGATGGGAAACCGTCGGCTCCTCTGGCCCCTGTGAATGCACCTGTATGAACCGCCCCCTGTGTCTGAACTGTCCCCGAGCACAGAGCACCGAGGTGGCCTCAGGCTGCTTTCAATTTCTTCTATCGGCCAACCAAGAATTTACATGACATGGCCCCTCTTGAAGAAGCGTTGCCTTCCGCTTGAATTGTTTAAAAGACAAAATGGGATTTGGGGTCCACAGCGTTGCCACATCGCTGCTGAAGATGCTCAGATGCCTCACAGGGTCCAGCCCAGGCTACCGGAACTCAGTACCATTCCTCAAAGTCAAGGGGAGCTTGGTGGGGGCCCCCCTACTTTGACTCCCCTCCAGGTGACGGTCCTGTTGGTAAACAGCCCCAGTCCCCAGCTGAGAGCACAGGCAGCCCCTCAGCATGGCAGCGCCTCTAAACTCCTGACAGACGCTCCTCTCCATGCTGAAGTCAGCCCTACCCCATGAAACACAGGCAGGCTCTTACTGGAAACCTCACTCGCCACCCAGACTCTGGCTGTCCTCGGGATAATTTCATTTCAGAAGGCTGTGGCCCAAGGCCTGCTGCCACAACAGATCGCCTTCCCTTCCCACCTCAAGAAGGAGCAGCTGGACATTTTCTTCCCTTCTGGAAGCTTGTGCTTCTTCTGTAAATCGATGCCTTTCCTCCGGGGCCCAGCGTTGTGTACCAGGGCAAAACTTGGATCTAGTCTCAAAGCAGTTAACTAACTCCTAAGTGGGGGACCGGCTGCCCACTCACTCTACATTTGCATAACCGAGAAAGCCAGTCAAGTGGCCTTCCCTGGACTCCAAGGCATTTTCCTTTCAATTCTACTGGTACCTGCTACCTGTGACCACAGCAAAGTGGGCTGCCCTGGGCAGTTAATCTTCCCTGTGGCCCCAGGGCCTTGAGCAGGCGTTTCAGAGACCAGCTCTCCAACAGCGCCCTCCCTGGCTCAGCACAAGCTTTGGTCCGAGTGCTTTTCATGCAGGAAGAAAGGAAAGTTTCCAGGTGGAAATCTTCCAAATGTGTCTTCCCCAATCACCTTGTCACTGGACTGTTCTAAGCAAAAACTTTCTCATAAATTATCTTTGCCTTTGGCTGTTCACACACAAAGGTCACATAGTTGTCTGCTTCTGATATCACACACGTAGCTGGGGAAATGGTTTCAGAGGTTCCCACAGCTGGAATCTCGAGAGGAATTCTGACCACGAAAGGGGAGATGAGGTCATGATGAAGAGGGAAAGAAGGAAAAAGAAGGCAGCCAAGACCCAGAGAGTTAGAGAGGCAGAGGGCCTCTCTCCAAGCCATCTCGCTCCTTTCCCTTCCATCTCTAACATGCAGCTTCCTCAGTGCTCTCCCACCAACTCATCCAAGTGAACACATGATAAAAATGCCTAACCAGAAGCAGTAACACACCAGTGTCACTGAGCACACACAGCACCCAAATCTTGGTTTCTAAATACCATTATCCATTAAAAGGAAACAAGACTCCTCGGTGGAATGGCCTGATTCATTGCTAGACCAGAGAAAATACAAGATGAGCCTGGAGCATCTAGCGTCAGAAGGTAAGCTGAGGTGCCTGGGTGGCTAAGTTGGTTGAGCATCTGACTCTCAACTTTGACTCAGGTCATGATCCCAGGGTTGTGGGATCGAGTGTCATGTCAGGCTCTGTACTGATCGTGGAGACTGCTTGGGATTCTCTCTCTCTCCTCTGCCCCTTTCTCAAGCTTGCTCTCTCTCTCTCCCTCCCTCCCTCCCTCTTGCAAATTAAAAAAAAAAAAAAAAAAAAGGTAAGCAAGTGCTCAAAGACAGGCAAAATGCCAAAAGACACAGGAACCAGTTTGAATGGTTAGTGACTTTGGAAGGAATGATGGAGTCGAAAATCACCAATGGTTGAAAAGTAGTGGGTGAAAGTATCTCTCACAATTACTTTTTATTTGCAAAGAGAAAATAACAGTTGTACTCAGGGAGAATTTGGTGCATACCACCTAAACCAAGTGACCAAAGTCAACACCTCTAACAAATGGGAAACTGGACACTGGGAGCCTCCCCATGTGGTGCTCTGAGAAAGACACAGTGTCACCTTCACAGCGATCTTGCCAGAATGTATAACCTAAAACTGACAATGAGGAAAGAGCAACACAGAATTTGAGCAACATCATTATATCAATTTTAAAGTTTCTGCTTTTGATAACTGTACTATGGTTTTTAAAAGGATATTCTTGCCCTCACCAGTACACTCTGAGTTATTTCAGACTAAAAAGGCCCAGTGTCTTCAACTTCCTCTCACGTGATTCAGAAAAAAAAAAGTGTGTATCGAATGTAGAGGGTATGATATATACACAAATGCACAGAGAGAATAAAATAAATGGGCAAAATATGAATAACATATGAATGATATATGGGAATTACCTGCGACTTTTCTGCAAGTTTGAAATTATGCTAAAAGGTACATACATCATAACAATGGCCAGCAATTACATGCCGCTTACTCTGCGCTGGGCACTGTTCAAATACTTTACATGCATTAACTCAATACTTAGATTAGTCCGACAAGGGTGTTACGCAGTTTGCCCAAGCTCCCTACCTGTTAAGACAGCAGAGCAGGGACCCAACCCCAGGCCCGTCTGCCAGGTTCCCGAGTCTGTGCTCTTAGCCAGTGTTAGAGAGCAAGCACACTTCACACAAACACACGTGGATGGGCTGCCTGGCACAGAACCCGCTGCAGCCTGAGAATCAAAATAATCTTCAGGTGTGAACTCGGAAGCAAGCCTTTGAGAAAGTAGAAGGCGGTCTAGCGCCTTGGGTTTGGGGGCGTGCACAGTCCCTCCTCCTCGGAGCTTCCCTGTGGCCCCTGCCCAGTCCTATTTGCCTTCTCAGCCCCCTTGGGGCCTGGAGCCCCAAGCCCTGTGCCCACAAATGTAGAAATTAGGGGTTGCTGGCCTTGGCCTTCACCACCCCCACCAGTGGGGGCCGGACGGAGCAGTGACCTCAAAGCCAAGGTTGAGGGAGCACGACTGAAAGCTGGCGGCCACAGGGATTGGAGGAAACGGGACGAGAAGACACAGGAGGCGCGCCCTGCGATCGACAGGGGGTGGCCAGGCCTCAGCACTTAGCCGCAGGACAGAGCGGGGTCTGTCCCCTACCACCCCGAGGAGGCTGCGGCCTCACAAACAGGACAGGGTCACAGTGTCAGGAGGACTCGTTAGCTGGGCCTGTCCAGTCAGGCAGGGAAATGGGGGGCGGGACGGGGGGAGCGAGATGCTGACGTCTGAAATCCGAAGTGGAGTGGACCCCCGCCATCCCCTCCCTGCTGAAGGGCCTGTCACAAGGCGGCTGTGGCTCACACCTGCTTATCAGGGCCTGGGTGTGGAGAGGGTGTCGGGGACGGGAGATAGGGCCGGGACAGGGCTGTCCTCACCGGCCTGCTCTGCCTCCCTCATTCACACCTCCTCAGGGGCCCCTCAGCCCACTTACCCACGGCAGCCCCCAGCCTCCCCAAAGCCCCGGCTGCTGCAGGCTGCCTTTCGTGAAGGAGTCCTCCACCCAGCACAGTTCAGACACCAGACAGGGAGGGACCACGGAGAGCATCTGGCCCAACCCTCACCCCACCGAGAGGGGGAGCGGGAGGGGGCGACGCGGCTCGCCTAAAGTCCTTGCAAGTACACACAGGAGCCAGAGCACAGAAGGGTCTGAGCCTTAGCCTGGGGACCCGGGAGGCGGGGTGGCAGGGCCACAGTGACGGGGGAGTGAGAGGCGCGTCCACCCTGGGGAGCGAGCGCCATGGTCTGTGTTTGGGCCGCACGCAGGGAGGGAAAGGGAGCACACGCGCCTCATGTTGCCCTGGAGCCCGCTGCCCGCACTGGATGGTACTGGAGGGCAAGGGATTAAAGGCTCCCTCTGAAGTGATGGGCAGAGAGGGGCGGGGGCACAAAGCCTATGACGCAGGAGGCCAGTGGGAGAAGTCAGGCGCCTGGTGTAGCGGGCGGTAGGGAAGGAAAACGCTTGTTGCGCCTGGTGGCCTCGGGCCCCAGCTGTGCCCTGGCCTTGGGGAACTGGCGCAAGCTCAGCAAAGTCAAAGCCACTGCCTACCCTTCCCTTCACTCCGCTTATAGCCTTAGAGATCTTTTGGGTGGAAAGGCCCAGGACCGGAGGCAGGACAGCTCCATTCACGGCCTGTGAAGGAAACCAGGGCTGAGTGGGGGGGAGGGAGGAGTTGGAAATAACACGGGGACCCAGGTTCGGGGGAGGGGAAGGGCGGGACTCCACACCCGCGCAGCTGGAAGGCCCAGGTTTAGCTCTGCTTCCCCAGGGCGGGCTGCCTCAGGGCAGACAGCAGGCGCTGCAGAGCCTGAAGAAGGGTGCTGTGGGGAAAGTGCCCTGGGCCCCCCGCCTGCCGGAAGCGGTGCTCAGTACCCAAGCGTGAGGTCCTCGGAGACACAGGGCCCTGCTCCACCCTGCTCAGTCCAGCTGGGCCCCAAGCACAGGGCCAGGGCCTGGGCGGGACACCAGTACCTGTGCCTCCCTGCCTCCTCTGAGCCGCCTCCCCCACAGCCGTCCTCATCTGGTCGGACTGGCCCCCGCTGGGGGACGGACTGACCCCCCAGCTGCGCCCTACTCCCCCCTCCCAGGTCCCCCGCAGAGATGACGAGCACCCTGGGACCCAAGCGGATTGTCTCAACTTTTCTGAGTTGTTGGTAACTGCAAAACATCTTTCGAGCATGTACTGTTTGCAGAACCCCCTGGAGGCCCCAGAAAAAGGAGTCGAGTGCATCACTTGTCTGCTTCTAGGAAGTCAGCGGGGCCTCGTAGGGCTAAGACGAGTAAATGCATCCACGGCCGAATTACAGGGCAGATTAAAAGAACTGCAACAACCTTGGGGGGCGGAGGGCGCGCGGGTAGGCTGAGAGCCAGAAAACCTTCCTGAGTCCTACACTCCTGGAGCTTGTTCGCTCATTTGTGAAATGGGATGAAGAGCAGCTACTCGAACGGTGGCCTAAGTTCTGACGCGAAAGCACTTTACAGACTGCAAAGCAGTGACACAAAGAGCTGGTGTGGTGGCTCAGGACCGGGGCGGGGCAGAGCTGCTTCCACCTGGCCCAGGGCGCAGCGCCGCATTAAGGTGGGGCTCTGCCCTTCACCTTCTCAGGGCAGGATGACCTTCGTCAGTCAGTCTTGGCTGGTTCAGGCTGCTGTAACAAAACCCCACAGACTGGGTGCTTTACAAACAGAAGAAATTCTCACAGTTCTGGAGGCTGGGGAGCCCAAGACCAAGGTGCTGGCAGACTCCGTGTCTGGTGAGAGCCCACTTTCCGCTTCGGCATTCATTCTGCAGGGTCCTCACGTGACCGAGGCGCCGAGGACCTCTCTGGAGTCCCTTTCATTAGGGCCCTAATCCCATTCATGAGCGCAGAGCTGGTCACCCTCCAAAGGCTCCGCCTCCTCATACCACTGCACCTGGGGATAGGATTTCAAGGAATGAGTTTGGGGGGACACATTGTCTGTGGTCACTGAGAACAGGAACCGGCTACCATTTATTAAAGGCTTGCCCAAGGTACCTGTTAGCTTATCCAGTCCTCAGACAGTGCTGCCCGTCACCCTCCCCCTGTTCCCAGATGAGGAACCTGATTTAGGATGAATGAGGTCAGTCGCAGAAGGCTGCCCGGTGGGTAGGTGTGAAGATGGGATGAGGACCCAGTGCGGCTCCCTGCACACAGCAGTTGTCCCGAGAGCTGGCCCAGCCATGCTGTGTGCTTCCAGAGGGTTCATGGGTGCTCAACATCCCGGAGTGGCTGTCTTGTACAACCAATTTAGTGCTTTCCCCTTAAAAGAAATAGAACTGAACTTAGGAAACATCAGAACACATTATTATCATTTGAATCCTATTGGGTGAGTGTGTGAAGGCTGCCGTATAAAATGTTTACCAAAGGGATCTTCCTTGGCTCTGTCTCCTTCAATGTTTTTAACAGACACGCTGACGGCTCCCTGTCCAATCTGCAATCTCAAAGCTGAGCAGCAGAGCTAACGTGTCAGATGGCCAAATGAAGATCATCAGGAGTGAGAACTCACTTCAGATGGGTAGAAACCATACTGAAACGAAATCTTCACAGCAGGCCGTGCCCATAACCCCACATTTGTGTTCCAAAACTTGACTGTGTGTGTGATGGGAAAGTGACGTGACAGGAGACCACATGACAGGAGACCACGTGGAAAAGTCCTGGAGGAGAGATGGCTGGAGCAAGTCCCATACAGACCAACGGTACAGGGAGCACTCAATTCAGCACTGCTATCACCACCTCTGACGCTTTGCCCAGACGTGGCTGCCACATCATAAGGCCATCGTGATGGTGGCAGTTCTGAAATCCACAAATGCCTGAGGGTAATGAGCTTCCTATCTCTAAAGGACCATCAGCTGAAAGCAGGTGCCGGCCAGCCCTGTGTAGCCTGGGATGGCCACTGGGGCCTGCCACTGACGAGCAACTCACAGGCAAAGTTTCAGCTTAATGTTATGAAGCTCAATAATAAAGGAAGTTGGGTACCTGGGGACCCAAAGCGATGGAAGAGTTTTCCCTTGATATTCATGAGCTCATAGACCACCTTTCCAGAGGATTCCTGTCTAGGGAACATGTGTTGGGGGAGGGTGGCAGCAAAATGGAGCATGGTCTGGTTCCAAATCTTGGAGAATCATCAGAATCGCCACTGTTGCTTCTTTATAAAGTATAGACTTCCAGGGGCCCCTCAGGGACTCAGTAGGTTGACCATTTGACTCTTGATTCCAGCTCAGGTCATGATCCCAGGGTTGTGGGATCCACACTGAGTGTGGAGCCTGCTTAGGATTCTCTTCCTCTCTCTCCCCCCACCCTTGCCCTTCTCCACCGTTCACACTCTCTTAAGAGAACTTAATCTTCACAGTAGCTTGTGAAGTAGCCACCAAGGGCACCGTTCTACATACTGGGAGTTCTGGGCCAAGCTCCTGACTAGGTACAAAGGCTTGCAATGGGGTAAAATATTGCGGCTAGAGGAGGTGTAGGCCAAACTAGGGGTGAGTCTGGAAGAAATGCTGGGGATCCCAGAAGATGTCCTTCACCTTGAACCCTATAGCCCTGAAGAGGTCAACAGGTGTGTGGAAATTAGCCTGCCGGAGCTTTGAGCCCAAATTCTGAGTCCAAACGCTCATGCTCATCTTCAGACTCCACCAGTAGGCAAAGCACATGTACAGCGAGGCAGCACGGCTGCTCCAGTTTAAGACTCATGACGAAGCACCGACAGCATGGCCCAGCGCCTGGCGGATGGCGGCCGGAACCATGGGAGCTTACAGAACGCGTCCGAGTGCAGCCACCCTGAGCTGGGCCCGCCAGCAGACCTCGTTGGAGGTCTGGGGCTCCAGGGTCACAACTCACTGGAGGTCTCTCTCTAGAGAGAGACGTTCCAGCCTCGCATCTGACCTACTGAGTCAAAATCTTCAAGGGAGGTATTGGAGAATCTGTGTATTTTTGAAACTTACTGGGAAGAATGTTCTAGACTAACAGACTAGACATGAAAACAAAATACAATAATCAAACCTTGACTGAGACCTGGATATCCAAAAACAAAGTATAAGACTTTTGGAGAAAACCTAGGAAAATGTTAAAAGACACCGTGCCTTAGATGAGACTGAATTCTTGATAATTTTCTTAGATGTGGTAATAGTATTCTGGAAATATAGGGGGAATGTCTTTATTCTTAAGCAATGCAGGCCAAGGTATTAAAGAATAAAGTGTCATGTCCACAACTTATTTTTTTAACCAAAGAATTACTTTCAGTTACTTGTTTAATGTTTATTTATTTTTGAGAGACAAAGGGAAATAGAGAGCGAGCAGGGGAAGGGCAGAGAGAGGGAGGCACAGAATCTGAAACAGGCTCCAGGCTCCGAGCTGTCAGCACAGAGCCCAATGCGGGGCTCGAACCCACAGATCATGAGATTATGACTTGAGCGGAAGCCAGGATACATAACCGACTGAGTCACCCAGGTGCCCCAAAGAATTACTTCCAAATGGTTCAAGAAAAAGAGAAAGCAAATGGGACAAAATATCGAGGGAGAGGGCATTCGTTACTCTCCCTTCGACTTGACTGCAAGGACATTTTTCAAAGTAAAGTTGGGGGGGAAGCTCATCTTCTGATGAGTCAAACACGGGGCCCACCAGACAAGACGGCGTCTGTTTCCTCTGGCCTGAGAGCCCGGAGCCTGACGTCTGGAGCTGACCGCACACTCGTGGCTTCCAGAGCTACAGGCGAGTTCTGTGCTGGACGGAGACACAACAGACTCGAGTCTTGCAGTGTGGCATTAGGCCACAGTGACCCCTAGAGGCTCTCTGCACTCAGGGGCTGACCTGCCCGTAGGCCATAGTGGCAAGTTCAGGGACACTAAAGAGAAGTCCACTCACCACACCCCCCTGCACACCCCAAATTATACAGGGTCCACACTGAAGCTCAGTTCATGCACTCGGTCTTCTTCAACGACCTGCGGGCTGGTCCCTGGAGGGGAGGCTGGCCTGAGAGGCAGGGATGGAGGCCGACGGGAGCCCAGGTTCCAGGCCAGCGGTGAGGCCCCCTGAGCACGACCGGCAGGATGAACTGCAGTGTGTGCCCCGGGGAGCTAGGGGCACACAGGGCGAGGCTGTGCAGGAGTGAGCAGGGACAGCTTCCAGTGTGACGCTTACCTGCTCCCAGGGGTGACGCAGGGAGCACAGGTGACGGCAATGCTCATATTCCAAGAGTGGGGCTGCTCCAGGCTGAGCCCAGCCCACAGGCGCGCCCCCTCGAGGCCACAGTGTCTCTCCGCCGCCAGCCGCAGACCCTGAGGGAGCGGCAGAGGTCAGCAGCTGTGGAAGGTCAAGGTACAGGCAGAAACGCCAGCCTGTGGTAAGGGGCTGGCACACCCGTCCCACCGTGGCCGCACAAGACACTGGCCAAATATTCCCAGTCCAGAGACCAAAGAGCTTGGAGTCCCCCATAAAGATGTCGCTGGGGGTGGGGCCGGGGAGATCGGGGAGTGCCCGCCACCCACAGCCGGGGCGCGGGGGGGCTCTCGGCAGCTCTTCCACAGCGGCCTTCCCCGCGGCCAAGGTCCGCCCCTGCGGCAGCGGGGTCCCGGGCCGGCCTGAGATCTCAGCGGGGCCCGAGGAGGGACCAGCTGGATGGCCACTGCTAAGGTGGGTACTAGGAGCTCATTCGACCCGGGGGAGCAGCCCCGGTGCCAGGGAGCGGCCTCCGGACCTCCCGCCGCTGCGTCCAGACAGTCAGCGCTCCTTCTGGGGAGGCCGAAGTCATCCGATGGGGGGAGAATTCTGTGTGGCACTCACTTTTCAGTTTGTTGGGAGGGCCTCGTAGTGCAAGTGTTCAGACAAGTCGAGCCTCACGCCGTGTACCAGCGATACTCCGCACGTTAGAACGAAGATCGGGAGCTGCGTTTTTATTATAAGCATTTCCTCTTTTCACAATGACCAGGTAGCACTTTGATCCCGGCCATCTAGGCGGAGGCGGAGGGCGGGAGGGAGAAGGGCGTGGGCAACAAGCGCAAGGCTGAAGGGGGTTCAGGCGAGGGCAGGGCAGGGTGTCACACACACACGCCGGGCAGAACCGGGGCTCGCCTCCAGGGGCGCCCGCGAGCCTCCGGGGAGAAGCACCACCCCCTCTCCCACGAGGATGGAAAGGAACAGGTTTTCTGGTCACACTGACATTTTGGCTCTTTATCCCTGAGGAGAGAAGGACTGGCACAAGCTAATGGTGAACAGTGTGATAAAACACACTGGTATTAATCAGCCTACCGTGTTCTGACCCCCGGCTTTTTTCTTTTTAACACAAATAAAAGAGCAGAACAAGGTCAATCATTACCATCTTATTATCTCAACGCCTTGGCATTTCTGCTCAAGGCAAACACACAAAACACCACAAAAATTGTTCTTGCAGCACCACATGGACCAGCACTGACATGACACATTCGGAAGCCCCTGTGCCCTATTCTAGGGTATTTTGCTGCCGACGCTGATGGAACTCCCGAAGGTTCCAAGTAAACCCAATCTAGAGATCGGGCTCAGAGAGCAGCTGCTGTTTCCCTTAGAGATAGTTAGCATGGTCTCTGAGCCTTTGGCCCAAAGCACCTCGCCCTGCTCCAGGTGGGCACCCCCAACCCCCCTCCAGGTGGACACGCACCCCCCACCCCCTCCTCCAGGTGGACACGCACCCCCCCACCCCCCGCTCCAGGTGGACACGCACCCCCCGCCCCCTCCTCCAGGTGGACACGTACCCCCCCACCCCCTGCTCCAGGTGGACACCCCCACCCCCCACCCCCCGCTCCAGGTGGACACGCGCCCCCCCACCCCCCGCTCCAGGTGGACACGCGCCCCCCCACC